CCTTGTGTCAGGAGCACAGACTGGAGCACAGAACGAAGCACATCGCTCTGCGCTACTTCTTGCTCGAGAGCTGCAGCAGCGTGGTCAGCTTCGTCTTTCGTACGTGGCCACTCGGGCCAACACTGCTGATGTGTTCACCAAGGCGCTTCAGCCTTGTGATCATCAGCGTTTCTGTACTGTTCTAGGCCTTGTGCCTACTGTCCCTCACTTGCTCACTTCTTGACTTTGCTTGTACTGTGATCTCTATATTTATATACCTGCATGCTTACACTTGCTAGGTTGTGATCACTGTACCTCTTGTTTATTATCAAACTGCATGTGAACTGGTCTTGTGACCGCTTGCTTGTGCTCGGAATTTGTGTGGTATCCTTGAGATCCACCCTGAGCTTTGCTTTGCTTTGCTTTGCTTTGACTGGTCTTGTGACCCTCTGGTTGTCTCCCACTTCGCCTATGGGGGTGTGTCAAACATTGTATGTTTACATTGTGTAGGCTATAGTGGGTTTAGCCTTAGGGGGTACACAAACTTAGGGTTTCCTACTTGTACCCAACTTTGTGCTAGTTCATCCATTCCTGTTTCTTTCATTCTAACAGGAGCTGCTAGTCCTGGAGGTACTGCTGGTGCTGGAGGCACTGGAGGTACTTCTGGAGGTGCTGGAGCTGTCGGAGCAGGTGGTGCTGCTGGTGCTGGAGGTGCTACTGGAGCTGCTGGTGCTGGAGGTACTGCTGGTGCTGGAGGCGCTGGAGCTGGAGGTACTGGAGGTACTGGAGGTGCTGGAGCTGCTGGTCCTGGAGGTGCTCGTACTTGAGGTGCTGGAGCTGCCGGAGCAGGTGGTACTGGTGGTGCTGGAGGCGCTGGAGCTGGAGGTACTGGAGGTGCTGGAGGTGCTGGTCCTGGAGGTGCTCGTACTAGAGGTGCTGGAGCTGCCGGAGCAGGTGGCGCTGCTGGTACTGGAGGTGCTGGAGGTGCTACTGGAGCTGCTGGTGCTGGAGGTACTGCTGGTGCTTGAGGCGCTGGAGCTGGAGGTACTGGAGGTACTGGAGGTCCTGGAGCTGCTGGTCCTGGAGGTGCTCGTACTAGAGGTGCTGGAGCTGCCGGAGCAGGTGGTGCTGCTGGTGCTGGAGGTGCTGGAGGTGCTAGTGGAGCTACTGGCGCTGGAGGTGCTAGAGGTACTGCTGGTGCTGGAGGCGCTGGAGCTGGAGGTACTGGAGGTGCTGGAGCTGCTGGTCCTGGAGGTGCTCGTACTAGAGGTGCTGGAGCTGCCAGAGCAGGTGGCGCTGCTGGTGCTGGAGGTGCTGGTGCTGCTGGTACTGGAGGAGCTGGAGCTGCTGGTTTTGCCCAGCGCCGACTGTTTTTCTACCCGCAGCCGCAGTCGACCCTGCCGCCGCCTGACTCGGTCCTTCACCAGGTTCTTAGTCTCCCGTCTTCCACTAGCCTCACTCCACCTCTCCTGTGTCCACCGACAGACCAGTCTCAGCCACAGCTACTGCCTGGCTCCCCACTGCCTGCTCCTGCTCCTCACACTGAGGTGACAGAGTCCCGACTGAGCGTCGTGAGCCTGCGACTCGTGCTTCCACACCTGTTCGTGCTCGTCGTGTCCCCCGTCCTCGTCCTCCTGCTGTCCCAGGCACTCACGGTATGGCATTTCGTCCGTCCTCTGTTCCACAGCGTGTTGTCCTGCCTGAGCCTCCCGCGTCCTCTCTTCTGCACGTTCCTGACCCTGAGCCTGACCTTGCTCGTGCTACCAGTCCTACTGTCACTCGTCTCCTCGCTACTGTCGTCACTGACCCTGACTTTGAGTCTACTGCTGCGTTTGCCCTAGTCACTGAGCTAGTCGACTTTGCAGCTAGGAGTCGTCTCGACTACGTCGCGAGTCTTGTTACTAAGTCTGATTCTGTCTGTCCTCCATCCGTCGGGGGTGAGCCTGCTCTTAGCAGTGACGTCCTTGAGGACAGGCAGTTTGAGCTTGAGTGTCTTGCGGCCGCTTTACCTCGTTTCGCGTCCATGCTGCTTTGCCCTGAGGGAGACCCGGATGCACCTGACATCCCCACCCCGCGCTCTTACAGAGAGGCGATTTCGGGTGAGTACTCCTCTCAGTGGCAGGCAGCCATGGACGCAGAGATGGCTTCCTGGAAGTCCACATGCACCTACGTCGACGAGGTTCCCCCACCTGGGGCGAACATCGTCAGTGGCATGTGGATTTTCAGGGTGAAGCGGCCGCCGGGTTCTTCGCCTGCCTTCAAGGCACGTTACGTTGCTCGAGGTTTCAGTCAACGACAGGGGGTCGACTTCTTCCAGACCTTCTCCCCCACCCAGAAGATGAATACTCTTCAGGTGCTGCTGCACGTTGCAGCACAGCGTGACTACGAGCTGCACTCCCTCGACTTCTCCACAGGTTTCTTGCAGGGCAGCCTTCACGAGGAGATCTGGCTGCGCCGCCCACCTGGCTTCACTCGGTCGTTTCCTGCCGGTACCCAGTGGAGCCTCCGGCGGCCAGTCTACGGTCTCCGCCAGGCGCCCCGCGAGTGGCACGACACACTGAGGACGACACTTGCGGCTCTTGGGTTTGCTCCTTCCTCTGCTGACCCGTCGCTGTTTCCACGCACCGACACTACTTTGCCGCCGTTCTACGTTCTCGCGTACGTTGACGACTTGGTTTTTGCTACTGCTGACACTGAGGCCCTGGCCCAAGTGAAGGCGGAGCTGCAGGAGAGACACACCTGCACTGACATGGGTGAGCTGCGTAGCTATCTTGGCTTGCAGATCACCCGGAACAGAGCACGGCGCACCATCACCCTGACTCAGTCACACATGGTGCACCATGCCCTTCGGCGCTTCGGCTTCCAGTACTCTTCGCCACAGCCCACTCCTCTGTCTACCGGCCACTCGCTCTCAGCTCCACCTTCGGACGAGTCTGTAGAGCCGAGTGGTCCATACCCAGTGCTTGTGGGTTGCCTCATGTACCTGATGACGTGCACACGACCTGACCTCGCGTACCCTCTCAGCCTCCTGGCTCGCTACGTGGCACCTGGTCGACACCGAAAGGTGCACTTTGATGTTGCGAAGAGGGTACTGCGTTACTTGTGCAGTACATCGGGCATGGGGCTCGTGCTTGGAGGACGGGGTTCGGTGGTACTCACAGGACACTCTGACGCTTCTTGGGCCGACGACCAGGCGACTCAGCGTTCGTCACTGGGTTACACCTTCAGTCTTGGCTCTGGTTCTGTCTCGTGGATGTCCACTCGTTCTTCTTCTGTGCTTGGTTCTAGCTGTGAGGCCGAGATCTACGCTGGGGCCATGGCTGCATAGGAGCTACGCTGGCTGACCTACCTGCTGACCGACTTGGGGGAGCGGCCTCGTTCTCCTCCAGTTCTGTACGTCGACAACAAGGCAATGCTTGCCTTGTGTCGCGAGTAGAGACTGGAGCACAGAACGAAGCACATTGATCTTCGTTACTTTCTTGCTTGGGAGCTGCAGCAGCGTGGTCAGCTGCGCCTTGCTTACGTGGCCTCTCGGGCCAACACTGCTGATGTCTTCACCAAGGCCCTCGGGTCTGGTGATCTTCAACGTTTTTGCACTGCTCTTGGGCTTGTGCCCACTCTGCCTCACCTGCTGGTTGCTTGACTTGCTCTTGTTGTACACTGATACATATATTTTTACCTGCTTGTTTACTCTTGCTAGGTTGTGATCAGTGTACTGCCTTGTTATTATAACTCTGCATGTGAACTGGCCTTGTGGCCGCTTGCTTGTGCTCAGATTGTGTGGTGTCCTTGAGATACACCCTGAGCTTTGCTTTGCTTGTTCCCTTGCTTGACTGGTCTTGTGACCGTCTGTTGTGTTTGCTATCTCCCACTTAGCCTATGGGGGTGTGTCAAACTATATGTTTGTGTTCTCTCTAGGCTATAGTGGGTTAGCCTACAAGGGGTACAACACTTTAGGGTTAGTACTTGTACCCAACTCATTCATAGTTCATTCATTCCTGCACACTGATTCTGACAAGCGTCACCAACGTTTGTGACGCGTAAATCTTGCATATATAGCCTAGTGTCAGAATCCCAGCAAGGGCCCTGGTGGCAAGGCAATATTGGATAACCACTGTCAGGCCATGTTCCTACAGCCCCTTTTCAGACGAACCTCTTGTCAGCTTCCTGTGGTTAAATTTGTTTCAGTGTGTTCGACAGTTCGACTGCTGTTACATTCGTTTCAGTGCGGTTCGACGCAAATTTGACAAGAGGTTTGCCTGACTAGAAGCTGTAGGCACATGCCAGGCCCCTAGATTGGTTTTGGGGTAGGCTGAAAAATCAGAGTTCACTGGCAGATTTACGCTGAAAATCAGCCAAAAATGTCATATTTTTTTTTATAAAAACCACTAGGAAATCACCACGTGTTTTTGGGGAAAAGGCTGACAAATCAGCCTTGGTACAGAAAAAATGGTAGTGTACAAGAAGCAGCATACTGCATCGTACAAAAAGATACACCCCCCCTCTATAACTCAGATGTACACGATGGTATCACAATTCCAAAATGGCACGGTAGATGTCTGTCTAAAGTCTACCCTACCCATAAATCTGCAGAAACTCTCCCATGTCGGGGGATTACGGTAAGTTTGTTAAAATGCGCTGTAAATATAACGCAGACCTTCAAACATACCCAAAGGAGCTTACCGTACTAGAATACGGTTGTGCTGTCTACCAGGCCACCCTGTCAGCTGGATGGATCTACTTCAAGTGTCAACAGGATCGGTTTGTGTTGGAGTGAAAGCTGGGCGAGCTGGACGGATCCTTCCCAGCTGCCACCTGGCGACACACGGAGCACGACGGGGTATGTGCAACAACACCACAGCTCCCACGAATTAGTGCAATCAACTGAAACTACCGGGGTTGCAGTGGTTCAGTGTTTGCGTGAAGTGAACTTTTGGGGGGAAGGGGAAACATTTGGTGGATAGTGCCGAAACAAAAGCAGTGACATGACAAGGAATCAAATGGCTCAAGTAGGTTGGCTTTCAGGGGATGCAAGCGAGTGGTACCTGCGGGAAGAGGTCGAGAGGAGTGGTGGAGGGCGGTTGAAAGAGGTGCGAGAAGCCAAGGGGGGAGGGCGCTGGGGTCATGGGGGCAGCGAGGGGGGACGGCAGCAGTGATGCGGAGGCGCCTGGTGACAGCAGCAGCCCACTGGGTGCCGCCACTTGGTGCGGCACTGCAGCACCTTGGTGCTGTGCTGTCGGCATCGCTTGACTTGGACTTGCTGTTGCTGCTGCTGGTGCAGCGGCAGAGTGGGAGGCTGATGGGGTGAAGGGCCAGGCGGCAGGGGCATGTGCGGCAGCAGTGGAGGGAGGGAGGACAGGGAAGAGTGAGGAGGCAAACGAGGGCGAGGAGAGAAACATGGAGTGCTGCTGGTGTGGCTGCTGCTGCTGCACGGGTGCTACTCCCTGCTGCTGCGGGATGGCTGCACCGCCGCCTGCCACTGGTGTGCCCGCTCCCGCACTGCCGTCAGCACCTAGGGGCGCATAGGCAGCAGGAGGAGCAGGGGCAGCAGCAGTGGGGGTGGCGGCGGGGGTGGGGCCAGCAGCAGCGCCAGCAGAGAGCTGGGTGGAGAGCAGCGAGGCGATGTAGGTGGCGAGGGCGGACTTGAAGGCGGGGTCGCTTGTGATCTTCTCCGCTGTCTCCGCCACCAGCCGGCTGTGCACCGCTGGTGATGCCAGTGCCGCCTCCATGCCCGCTGCTGGTGCCGCTGCTGCTGGGGTTGCGCCTGCCCCTGCTGATGCTGATGCTGCTTCCACTTGAGATGCGCTTGCTGCAGCAGCAGGTGTGGCAGCAGAAGCAGCGGTGGCGGGAGCACCACTACCTCCAGCAGCGGCAGCAGCAGCAGGGCATTCAGGTGTGAAGTGGCCAACCACGCGGCGCCGGGGAATGTGGATGAGGGGAGGCGCCTCATCCGCTGCTGCTGCCAGCCCACTTGAGGCAGGGTAAGCGGCAGAGGGCGGGGTGGGCGGGAGCGCAAGAGGAGTAGTAGCAGCAGCAGCAGGCAGGGGGGGGGAGAAGAGTGCAGCGGTGGATGCAGGGGGAGCGTTGGCGGAGGCAGGGAGGGGGGTGGGGAGCAGCAGGCCGTGGATGGGCGATGGCGTGGACGCTGCAGACGACGGCGCTGCACCGCATGCACCCGCGGGGGGGCCGGGTGCGGAGGAAGGGGAGGGGGCGGGGGCTCCAGGCCACCACCAGGGGGCGCCGGTGGGGGTGGTGGCGGCGTTACTTGGGGTGGTGGCAGGTGTGGGAGCAGCAGCACCTGTGGGCGTGTATGCTGCTGCTGTGAATGGCAGTGCTGGTGGGTGCATGGGTGGTGGTGCAGTCAGCACAGGAGGGTGGGCGGAGGGGGCGGGTGGGGAGGATGGCGGAGCAAGTGGTGGTGCAGATGAGCCACTGAGAGCAGCACCACCACCAGTGCCAGCAGCACCCCCTGCGCCCCCCCCTGCTGCACTCACCCCCAGGCCCAGCTGGGCCAGCTGGTGGGGCGGGAAGGTGGAGAGGTCGAGCGTGACGGTGGGCAGGGCAGCCGTGGCCGTCACAAACGGCGACGAGGGTGTGCCGGCCAGGGTGGGCGTGGCAAGTGGCGACGCCAGCAGAGACGGGTCCATGGGGAATGCAGCCGCTGCTGCAGCAGCGGTGGGTGTGTGGAGAGTGGAGCCGCCTGGTGTTCCCGCCCCACCTGCTGCTCCCATCAGCGACGGTGGTGGCGGGAACGCGTGGTGGCCAGGGAAGGCAGCGGGGGAGGAGGCAGAGGAAGGGGCGAAGAGCGAGGGCGAGGCGAGGGGGGCATGTGCGCCGGCAGAGGACACAAGGGAGGCGGAGGAGGTGAGCATGGCCATGGCCGTGGCGTGCGGGGCCAGCGCGTGCGAGTGCGTGCCCTCGTACGTGACGATGAGGAACGCCATGTCGTCCGCACAGCGCTGCACCTGCTTGCGCACCGGGCACGCGGGGGCGGCGGTGCAGCGGTAGTAGGCGCGCGGACACGGGTTGCCCTTCGACACCTTCTGCCCGTACTTGCGCCACTGCCCGCCGTCAGACAGCTGCAGGGGAGAGAGGGGGGGGGGGGGGGGGGAGGGGAGGGGGGGAGTGGCGAGGTGGAGGGGCGATGATGCAGGAAAGGTTGAGACAAATAAGGGATTGGGCACGACAGTAAAGGGATGGGTGGAAAACAGAGGAGAGGAGAGGAATGGAGAGGAGAGGAGACGAGGCAAGGGGAGAGAAGGGGAGGGAAGGAGAGGAGAGGAGGAGAAGAGAGGAGAGGAGAGGAGAGGATGAGAGGAGAGGAGAGGAGCGGAGAAGAGAGGAGAGGAGGAGGGGGAGAGGAGGGGAAAGAGAGGCGGGGAGGAAACGCACTGTGGCAGCCTCGCAGCGAGCGCGGATGGCGACGCGGGCAGCCTTGCGGGCGGCTGCAGTGTCTGGCAGGATGGGCAGATGCGTTGGGATGAAGCGAAGGGCCTGCTGCTGCTGCTGCCATGCCACCTGTTGCTGCTCTTGCTGTTGCTGCTGCTGTTGCTGCAATTGCTGTTGCTGTTGCTGCTGCACAATCTGCTGCTGTTGCTGCTGCTGCTGCTCATGCTGTTGCTGCTGCTGCTGTTGCTGCAATTGCTGCTGCTGTTGCTGCTGCACAATCTGCTGCTGTTGCTGCTGCTGTTGTTGCTGCTGCTGCTGTTGCTGTTGCTGTTGCTGTTGCTGTTGCTGTTGCTGTTGCTGTTGCTGTTGCTGCTGCTGTTGCTGCTGCTGCTGCTGCTGCTGTTGCTGTTGCTGTTGCTGCTGCTGCTGTTGCTGTTGCTGTTGCTGCTGCTGCTGCTGTTGCTGTTGCTGCTGCTGCTGCTGCTGCTGCTGCTGCTGCTGCTGCTGCTGCTGCTGCTGTTGCTGTTCTTGTTGCTCCTGCGGGTGCAGCACAATCTGTTGCTGCGGCTGAGGAGCCAGTGCAGGCGGAGGGGCATGAGGCGCATCCTGTGACTCAGGCTGGAACAGCGCTAACCCTTGTTCACGCACAGCCAACCCATGTGCTTGCATCCCTTGCTGCTGCTCCTCCCCTTGCCCTCCTCGCACCTGCATCTGCGCCCCTGCTGCAGCAGCCACTGCTGCTGTCTGCTCTTCCCTACCCACTCCTCCTGTGCTACCTGCCGGACTCGCCACCCCAGTGGCATTCTCCGTCACTCCTGCACCCTGCTGCGCCGCCACCATCACTCCCTGCTGCGCCTCAGCTTGCTGCTGCCCATCACTCATCTGCTCTCCCCCCCCTTGCTGCCGGGACCTCAGGTCGTCACCGTCGCATGCAGGCAACGTAGCTGCATCAGACGCAGCACCAGTCGGAGGAGGGGCATGAGCAGCACAAGGCGGGGGAGCAGCAGGCGGGGAGGCCGGGCCAGAGGTGCGCTCAGGGGTTCCCCTTGACTCACCAGCACCATGGGCCACCACCCCTCGCTGCACACCCTCTGCACCATCTGTGCTGCGCCCACCCTCGCTCTTCACTTCCTCCTGTGCCCCCTTCATGCCCTCCTCTGCAGCTCCCGCCCTGCCATCATCGCACTTGAGAGGGGGTGGAGCAGCGGCACAGCAGAAGCGGCTTCTTGGCAGGGCACGGGTTCCACCACCAACACCAGCACTGCTGCTGCCGCCCTCTCCGGCCCCCTGCCTGCCTGCCTCGTCTGCTCTCTCCCCTCCCCCCGCCATCTCCTGCTCCTTCTGCCGCCCCCCGTCTCGCGCGAGCTCTCTGCCCCCGTCACTCACGTCCATGGCATCTGCCACTCCACCCCCACTCGCCACTCCACCCCCACTCGCCACTCCACCCCCACTCGCCACTCCACGCACACACTCCTCGCCTCCTGTACTCGCCTCCCCTCGCCGCCTCTTGCACGCCCTCTCACCCCCCATGCTCTGCTCACTCTCGCCCTCCTCCTCCTCCTCTCCTCTTCCCACCCCCATCTGCTCAACCATCACTCTTGCCAGCCCACCCTCCTCCATTTCCAAATCGCCGTCCTCCTCGTCCTTGCCACTGCCCCTCCTCCTGCTACCCACTCCCTCACCGTGCTCCTCCCCTCCGTCCGCCCTGCCCCGAGCACCAAGCACGCGCGACTCCACAGCACACTCATCGCGATTATCCTCATCACTACCTTCTCCCCCCCGCCCACCCCCCCGCCCACCCACTGCACTGCCAACCATCCTGCTCGCCTGCACCCCGCCTGCCCCGCCCCCGCCTACACTATCCTTGCCCATCCCACTTACCACCTCCCCTTCCCTCCTCGCGCCCTTCACCTCCCTCTCTCCCCCGCCTCTCTGCTCCGCTTCCCCTTCCCCTTCCCCGTCCCCTCCCCGCCGCCGCCGCCGCTGCTGCTGCCCCTCGTCCGCCCTCTCGCTCGTTGAATCGCTGCGGTCCATTCCCACGGATCGGATCGGACGGCCCATGCTGCAGCGCTGGTGGGAGGCGGAGTCGGGGGGGGAGAGCGACCCCCTCTGGCTGGCCGTGTGGGCGGACGCGCGGGGCTGCGCGCGCGTGGGCGCAGGGGGGGTGTGGGAGCGCGCTGGCAGCAGGGGGGAGGCGGGCCTCCCCACCTTGCTGCCCCTGTCAGGCCCGGTGGGCGCGTGGGGGTGGGGCGGCGAGGGCGGAGGCATCATGGGCGCGGCAGGTGGTGTGGCGGAGGAGGAGGGTGGCGCAGTGGGGAAGGAGGGGAAGGGGAAGGGGTTGGGGAGGGCGGGGAAGAGGGCGGACCAGCGCGACATGGCCTGATGGGGGGGTGAGCGGGCGGGATGGATGAAGGGATGGATGGAGGGAGGGAGGGAGGGAGGGAGGGAGGGAGGGAGGGAGGGAGGGAGGGAGGGAGGGAGGGAGGGAGGGAGGGAGGGAGGGAGGGAGGGAGGGAGGAGGGAGGGAGGGAGGGAGGGAGGGAGGGAGGGAGGGAGGGAGGGAGGGAGTGAGGGAGGGAGTGAGGGAGGGAGGGAGGGAGTGAGGGAGGGAGTGAGGGAGGGAGTGAGGGAGGGAGTGAGGGTATCAAAGTTGTTGGGTATGAACAGGGGAGGAGGAAGAGGGGCGACGACCAGCAGCACATGGTGGGTGGGAGGCGCAAGGGGAGGGAGGGGGTGTATCCATGCCCTGAGACCACAACTCCAATAACACCTTCCCCTCGCCCACCCGCCTCCCCGTCACCCACCCGCCACCCCATCGCCCTCCCGCCTCCCCGTTCCCCAACCTCCTCCCCGTCTCCCCTACCTCTCACATCCCCGTCGCCCCTCCCTTCCCCTGCAGCGGCGCTCACCTGGGCAGCAGCGGCGTGGTAGGGCAGCAGCGCCAGCATCTGCATCTGCTGCGCGCGCACCCACTCCGCGCCCCCCTCGCCCGCCCCCCCTGCACCTCCCGCCATCATCGCCGCCAGCACGTCTGCACTCAGCCCCCCCGCTCCCGCCCCCGCCCCTGCGCCTCCACCTGAGCTCGTTCCCCCTCCCCCTGCCCTCTCGCCCTCCCCTCCGCCCGTGCCCGCCGCTGCACGCCCGCTGTGTGCGCCACCTGCATCCCCTTTTCCCGCATTCTCTGGGTTCGCAAGGGGGGCGTTCCCGCCATGCGCGGAGGCGCCGTTCCCCCCAAGCGCGGAGGGGCCGTTCCCCCCATGCGGGGAGAGCTGCAGCGCCACTATGGCGCGCAGAGACTCGTTCTCGCGGCTGAGGCGCGCTATCATGCCCCGCATGTCCGCCAGCTGGGGGAGGCGGGCACCGCGAAGGGGGGGTGGGGGGGGAAGGGAAGGCGAAATGCAGAGAGGAATGGGCAGGAGAGGGGTGCGCACCAGGGTATGCGGCAGCCCACAGGATGAGATCCTTGATCGGAGCAGCCTTCACTTGCGAGGTAGCAGTAGCAGTACAGTACGGTGCGGTACGCTATGGTACGGTGCTGTAAAGTGCAGTACACTGCATTACATCACAGTACGAAGCAGTGAAGTTCACAGCATGCTTTTGACAAAATCAAAGGCAACTTAGAAGAGACTGCTTGGAGTGTTAGCGGGACAGATTGGGAGCTACCAAGGGGGCTTGGCGACCTGCGACGGCTGCTCACCTGCGACGGCTGCTCACCTGCGACATGACAGCATGGGCGGTAATCCCCTGAGCGCCCGCCGCACCGCCTGCTTCAGCGGTGACCGGCACCGCTTGAGCGTCGCCAGCAGCAGCGTCAACAGAAGCAGCAGCAGCGGGCTTTCGAGGCGACTCAGAAGCGGCGCGAGCATCGCCAGCTGCAGCAGCAGCAGCCTCCGTCGGTCGGTCGCCGTGACTGTCCGTCCGCACTGCAGCGTCACCTGCTTCCTGCTCCGCCCGCTCTGCCAGCTCTGTCCGCTTCACGGCTTCCCCTGAACCTTGCGTGTCCTCCTTGTCACCCGACGCTTGCTTCTCTTCCCGCTCTAACGCTTGCTTCTCTTCCCGCTCTAACGCCTGCGAAACGACTGGCCTCTCTTGTGCTGATCCGTTCCCCTCCGACCCGTTTCTTCCCGACCCATTTACATCTGGCGCCTGACTCGGCGATCCATCGCCTCCTTCACCCATCGTAGCGACCCGCGCTGTCTAGATGGGAGTCACCTCTATATTTCTCGCGACCGATCTGAAGTAGCGTGAATTACCCTGTCGTCTCTGTAACGCGGCGCATTGTCGCAGGCGTGTGTGAACGAGATCGCGGAAGGGGCACTCACGAAAGAAGCCTTCGAGCGAGCCGATGCGCTGATCGGCGCGAGCACGACCAGACAAAGAGCGCTTCGCTGATAAGCGGAAATTTGCGTGTAGTAACGCGTCTACGAATCACAACGCTTCTCCGCACCTAAGTGCTTAGAGCGGTTCCAGAATAAACAGTTACACGAAACCTGCGAAAAAAAAACTATTGTAGTAATGGTCTGTTACGGATCGTACATTGTACACACTCCACGAAGACAGCAAAAACGGAGGAGGGCTCGCAGCGCGGCTACAGCATGGTCAGTGATAAAGTGGCACTGGCATGACAGCATCTCCAGGACACAGAAAGGCGGAGCCAGGGGAAGCCTTCTCCAGCTGCTCGACGCCTCGACAGTAGAGAGCAAGCATTTGGTTGTGGATGTCTTGAAACGAGGAGGACTGATGTAACCAAACCAACGACTGTCGAGGTGCGGTCGGACACACCGAGACTAGCGAGGCGACTGTGTGGTTCGGCGACGGTGAGACGAGGGTCGTTGGGGGAAGACGCGACGACCAGACCAGAAGAATTCCTTCGCCGGGTACGCCGAACCTTAAACGGACCACTGATGTACGGCGACGACGTCACTGCAACCTAGCCTCGGCTTTGAAAACCCCTCTGGGGTTGATCCACGTAGTGTACAGCACAGCCCCTCGACAGGTCTGACCGAACGCTGACTGCAGAGTGGAGAAAAACGTGCATGTTGGGGCAATAGTGTCGTGGAAAAGCCTCCACTTCTGAAACCCTAGTCAACGACGACCTGGAGGGCCTCGCGGAAAAAAAAGAGTAAAACCTGTGTTTGCTGTTTGACGCGATCTGTGTTTGCATGTTGACGCGGATCACGCCGCTGTTGCAACAGGTGTTGGAAGCGGCTCTGTAGTTCGAAAAGTTAGTTTGCGTAGGTTCAGTACGGTGGAAACTCGATCTCACATTTTCAAGCCTCAAGTTGAGATTGTCAACAACATGCACTCTGTGCCCTTCAAGATGGTGGCGCCGCTTGTTCGTTCCTCTGTCCGCTGCTGCTGTTTGATTGGTCCTCCCTTCGTCCTCCCATTCCTTCCTTTGCCCATACCAGCCAGGCCACAGTACTCAACCAGAACGTCAACTCCCGAACGTAACCGTCAGAAACCGACCGTCATCTGTGCAAACTTGCTAGAAGTGGTATGATAATTCGCCAATTGCTTCATCCGGTACGGTGACCTCATTTCATGTTCCCTGCTTTGAGCACCAGAATTCCCCTTTCATTCACAATATCAGACACAGCTTTCACATGGCTTATCTATGCGTTCCTGAAGAAACTCTTTAATACTATGGAGCACAGCAGCTGTAGGCGAAGAGAACACTGGTGGGAGCTTGAAGAGTTGCAGCGCAGACTGCAGGTAGCATTGCTTAACGATTGGCCTTGGCAACACGCTCAATCTCATCCTTCTTCTTGATGGCGTAGCTGCCAGGCAAAAACAAGGACGAGAGACAGTTTTGAAGGTTTTGAGAGAATGTGTAACTCTGGGAGAGAGAACATTGGGGAGGGGCTCTGAAGAAGCTCCGATGGCTTCCTCGGCTGCTTCAATTAAAGCCCAAGACCCGAATTACAAAAAACGAAGGCAAACTGTGCACGGTTTGCCTCCCGCAGCCTACAGTTTTGCCCCGTGTTGACTTGCGTTGAGCAATTCAGGTCTTGGGCTTTAAGATCAACAACAGCCACATACAAACATAGTACATGTGTGGTGCTAACAATGCTCAAGGCATGGCGCCATTGTAGGAGCAGGTCCAAGCCGCAAAAGGGAGCCTTCCCGATTCCACCACAGCAAGGCACCAACCATCACAACGTGGCCACTGGCTCATGTTACCGCGTGCACAGCTCCACACGTACACCACTGCCCACCTTCTGCCCACCATGCCCGCTGTTGCTGCCCTTAAAGCCCGGGCGGGCAGCTCACCTGTTGGAGCTTCCCTTAAAGCCCGACTGCCGCACCTGTTGGAGCTGCCCTTAGCGGCACAACGCACCTGTTGGAGCTGCCCTTAAAGCCCCATTCCTCACCTGTTGGAGCTGCCCTTAAAGCCCCATTCCTCACCTGTTGGAGCTGCCCTTAAAGCCCCATTCCTCACCTGTTGGAGCTGCCCTTGGCGGCGTTGATGAGCTCGTCCGCCAGGCACTCCGCGATCGTCTTCACGTTGCGGAACAACAGCCACATACAAACATAGTACATGTGTGGTGCTAACAATGCTCAAGGCATGGCGCCATTGTAGGAGCAGGTCCAAGCCGCAAAAGGGAGCCTTCCCGATTCCACCACAGCAAGGCACCAACCATCACAACGTGGCCACTGGCTCATGTTACCGCGTGCACAGCTCCACACGTACACCACTGCCCACCTTCTGCCCACCATGCCCGCTGTTGCTGCCCTTAAAGCCCGGGCGGGCAGCTCACCTGTTGGAGCTTCCCTTAAAGCCCGACTGCCGCACCTGTTGGAGCTGCCCTTAGCGGCACAACGCACCTGTTGGAGCTGCCCTTAAAGCCCCATTCCTCACCTGTTGGAGCTGCCCTTAAAGCCCCATTCCTCACCTGTTGGAGCTGCCCTTAAAGCCCCATTCCTCACCTGTTGGAGCTGCCCTTGGCGGCGTTGATGAGCTCGTCCGCCAGGCACTCCGCGATCGTCTTCACGTTGCGGAACGACGCCTCGCGCGCGCCCGTCGTCAGCAGCGCGATGGCCTACGCGCGATCGGAGAGGGGAAAAGGGAGCAAGGGGGAAGGATGAGGGGTGGTCGGAGAGGGGAAAGTGGAGCAAGGGGGAATGATGAGGGGTGATTGGAGAGGGGAAAGGGGAACAAGTGGGAAGGATGAGGGGTGGTTGGAGGGGAGGGGAGAGGAGAGGTGAGGTTAACCCGTGATGCACGAGGCAAGGGGTGGTGGGACGATTCTGAGAAGGGAAAGCGAGGAGCATTGCAGCACATGGCACATGCTGGAGCTTCGTGCGCGCGCGTGCTATAGCATGGCGGCGGGTGGCGGATGGAAGAGCAGAACGGCCTCTCACGCAGCTGCGGCAGAGAGCCATGGCCTGCTGGCCAGTGGCGGGTGGCTCACGGTGCGTCAACGTCACGCCATCACGCCATCACGCGCACAACCACGCACATGCCTGTCACGCACGCATGCTCCTGAATGCACGCCCTCCCGTACCTGGTTGACTCGTCGCAGCGGCGAGATGTCGACGGCCTGGCGCCGAATGACTCCCGCCGACCCGATCCTCGTCGCGTCCTCGCGCGGCCCGCTGTTAGCGCAAGAGGGCGGGGAGAGGGGAAAGGAGGGGAAAGGAGAGAAGAGGGGGGGGGGGGGGGTGAAAGGGGTGCCATGAGGGTGAGGGGAAAGGGTTGGCGTGTGAAAACGAGAGGAGTGAGCGGTAGGAGTGAGAGTGAAGGGAGTGAGCGGCGGAAAGGATGGTGCAGCGTTTCACGGCGAGTCCTACGGCGCTGAGAAACGGCCAGAGAGTAAGATGCAGTGAGATGGGTGAGATGAGGTGCGGCGAGGTGAGAGGCAGTGGCGGTTGTTACCTGTTGACGATGGCGTCGACGATGACTTGAATGGGGTTCTGGTCGGTGAGGAGGTGGATGATCTCCATGGCGTGCTGCACGATGCGCACCGCCATCATCTTCTTGCCGTTGTTGCGCCCGTGCATCATCAGACTGTTCGTCAACCTGCAGAGGGGACGCGGAAGGGAAGGGGGAAGGGAGACGGGGGAAGGGCCAGGGTAAGGGGGAAGGAAGGGGGTAAGGACGAAGGGCAAGGAATGGTACTGCCATCACCTTCTTGCCGTTGTTGCGCCCGTACATCATCAGACTGTTCGTCAGCCTGCTCGCGCGCACACGCACGCACGCGGGCCGGGCGGGGGAAGAGGGACGGGGATGGAAAAAGGAGGACGGGGAAGAGGGACGGGAATGGGACAGGGAGGACGGGGAAGAGGGAGGGAGGATGAAGGGCAAGGAAGGGCAGAGGGCAAGGGGGCGTGTCAGGGACCAAGGGCTGCTGCCATGCCATGGCGGTCTGTTCTGGATCGCAAGGCACGCGTGCATGAGCACAAGCCGAGACGGAGTTGGAAGAGCGGGGGTGTGGGGAAAAGGGACTCAGGGCGTCGGGCCGAAAGCCATCCACCCCAGCCCTGGCCTGCGCGAAGCGTACTCATCGATGTGCTCGCCATCATCGCCCCATCGCAACCGTCGACACGAACGACAAGGCAATCGGGTAATGAAGCTTCGCACAAGCAGGCAATACAAGCACCCCCTTTCGTCGCGCAGCGCTACTAGGTGCCGCTCACGCACTGCTGGATGATAGCGCGGAGAATGATCGCGCAGTGCGCCGCACTCACCGCTCAATAATCGGGCAGTTCGCCTTGCGGAAGCGCTTGGCGGAGTAACGGCCGGCAGTGTGCGGCACGGTGATGGCATGCTTGACGGCGATGTAGTCCGCCAGCGACAAGTCGTTCACCTGCCGGTTGGAGAGCGGCAAGGGAGAGGGCGCGGGACAGACGGAAGGAGGGAAGGGCATGGCGGGAGAGGGGAACATGACGGGGAGAGACGAAGTGCGCAGAGAGTACGAAGCGGTGTGCGCGGATCGGCGCGCAGAGGAGGACAAATTGAACCCAGATTCGAACAGGGCTAGCGGCGATGCCACGATGGACAACTGTAGCACGGTAACCTGATTAAACACGCCACGTGCTCAGATCGCACAATCCGCTCTGCCTACGCACGTTCTACCGCTGATGCCGCTACCACGTTCTCATGCGCGCCCCGCGCTCGCATCCCGCAGAGAATGCGCGCCGACTGGTGGGAAGCATCAATCGAGCTCCGAACACGA